CTCTCACTCTCTCTCTCTCACTCTCTCTCTCTCTCTCTCTCTCTCTCTCTCTCTCTCTTCTCTCTCTCTCTCTCCTCTCTCTCTCTCTCTCTCTCTCTCTCTCTCTCTCTCTCTCTCACTCTCTCACTCTCTCACTCTCTCTCACTCTCTCACTCTCTCACTCTCACTCTCTCTCACTCCTCTCTCACTCTCTCACTCTCTCTCTCACTCTCTCACTCTCTCACTCTCTCACTCTCTCACTCTCTCACTCTCTCACTCTCTCACTCTCTCACTCTCTCTCACTCTCTCACTCTCTCTCACTCTCTCACTCTCTCTCACTCTCTCTCACTCTCTCTCTCTCTCACTCTCTCTCACTCTCTCACTCTCACTCTCTCTCCACTCTCACTCTCCCACTCTCCCACTCTCTCACTCTCTCACTCTCTCACTCTCTCACTCTCTCACTCTCACTCTCACTCTCTCTCTCTTACTCTTACTCTTACTCTTCTCTCTACTCTTACTCTCACTCTTCTCACTCTTACTCACTTCTTACTTACTCTTACTCTCTCACTCTCACTCTCACTCTCACTCTCACTCTCTCTCTCCACTCCACACTCACACTCACACCACACTCACACCACACTCACCACACTCACTTCACTCACTCACTTACTCACACAACACTCACTCACTCACTTCTCACACTCACTCACTCACTCACTCATCACACTCACACACACTCACTCACTCACTCTCACACACACTCACTCACTCACACTCACTCACTCACACTCACTCACACTCACTCACTCACTCACTCACTCACTCACTCACTCACTCATACACACACTCACACTCACACACAACGCTAAACGAGATATCTAGATCTAATGACCTGCAACAAGGTCTTCTTCCTCGAATACACCGTCTAAATGTTTCCATTTTTAACTTGCCTGTTGTATCAACACTTGTCACATAACGAGCCTTTGTGCTCGTCAAGTGAGAGGGACTCAAGATGGATCGAGATCTCTCGTGTGGTGTGTGTGTGTGTGTGTGTGTGTGTGTGTGTGTGTGTGTGTGTGTGTGTGTGTGTGTGTGTGTGTGTGTGTGTGTGTGTGTGTGTGTGTGTGTGTGTGTGTGTTGTGTGTGTGTGTGTGTGTGTGTGTGTGTGTGTGTGTGTGTGTGTGTGTGTGTGTGTGTGTGTGTGTGTGTGTGTGTGTGTGTGTGTGTGTGTGTGTGTGTTTGTTTTTTGCCTGCGGCTACGTCTGTGTATTCTGTATAAGCTTTTGTTTGTCCATGTGTGTGTGACTTTGTACGCACTCGCACACGCACGTACGCACGCAGGCACACATACACACATACACACATACACACATACACACATACACACACACACACACACATACACACACCTACACACACATACACACACGTACACACACAAACACACACACACGCGCACACACGGATTTGAAAAAAATACATTAGTACAAAAAAAATAACGAACACAGCATATCAACACCTAAGCAAAGTCATCATGTGGAGTACTTCGTCTCATTACATACGTCAATATTTGTTCAGTTTTTTTCAGACGATTTTTAAAACTTCCGGAAAAATATTTTGAAAAAATCACCAGAGAGAGAGAGAGAGAGAGAGAGAGAGAGAGAGAGAGGGAGAGAGAGAGAGAGAGAGAGAGAGAGAGAGAGAGAGAGAGAGAGAGAGAGAGAGAGAGAGAGAGAGAGAGAGAGAGAGAGAGAGAGAGAGAGAGGGGGGGAGAAAGAGAGAGAGAGAGATGGGGAGAGAGGGAAAGAGAGAGGGGGGAGGGAGAGAAAGAGAGAGAAAGAGAGAGAGGGGAGGGTGAGAGAGGGAGAGGAGAGAGGGAGAGAAAGAGAGAGAGGGAGGAGAGAGAGAGAGGGGGGTGGGGGTGAGAGAGGGAGAGAAAGAGAGAGAGAGAGAGGGGAGGGTGAGAGAGAGAGAGACTAGTTACGAGTTACGAAACCTATTTTGTGAATGGTTGGTTAAAGGTTAAAAAGCAAAATAAATGTGCTAGACATCTAAGGTCATATAGCACTATAGGAAGGTACACTAAAGGGTTGTGAAGGGTGTTATGCGTCAGCTATCTAGAGTAATATTGAAATGTTAAAGATGGGTAAAGGAGTTGACGAGTGAATGGGTTATAGTGGGTTTAGGTAAGGGATAAGATTAAGTGAAGGATACGTATGCGTCTGAGGAAAGAGACAGGTTGTCAGTGTATAAAGTGTAGGGTTCTGTAAGGATGTCCAATAGGTTTGGAGGTCGGACAGGACAACAGAATGCGTGGAACTGAATGAGGGATATTACATAGGGGAGTTGGGTATCGGTATAGGAGGATGTGCCAGAAAAGTCTCTTGGACTTGGTTTATAGGAAGAAAGGATATGACGAAGTTCAGGTCTGTGAGAACGGAAACTGCGAATATTCCAGTGTAGGAGAGCTATTATTTAGTTGATCTACGAGTGATAATGGTTACAGTGTGTTTTGGAAAAAATGAAGGGGATGTGGCTAGTGGTGAGATAAGGAATTGGAGGGGGGGTGTAGTATCAGGAAGGGTATCAGGGGTGGAGGATCTAGGGAAGGGTGTAGTTGTGACATACGGGATTCATGTGTGTATCCGGAGGGAATGAAAGAGATAGAGGGGTGGAAGGAGGGTTAATGTATGTGTAGTTGGAGCTGAGGGGATGGGCTGTGTTGGGAGGGAATGGGAGGAAGGGGTGTAGGGGGAACATGAATAGGAGGAGGATGGATATCGGCAGTCACTCTGTGTGGAGGGAGCGGGAGATGTGGAATTTGAAGGTGGGTGTGGGGTTTCGGTGTCATTTTGGGACTCGAACAGATAGTTTTGAATATCTTCAAGAGTTTCTGCAGTGGAGTTGGTTGGAGGGGTTTGTGAGACAAAGGTTGTCTTATAAGGGGGGAAGAGGAGACTGGTGTCTGAGGAGTGATGGCAAAGGTAGGTAGTGAGTGTGTGGTAGGAGAAGGGAGGGGTGGAACGTTTAGTCTGTCTGCTGCGGGTAGCGCGGGGAGGGAGATGGGGTGTTGGGGCTGTAGTAGTGATTGGAGTGTCTGGATTAGATTGGCAAAAGACTTTGAGTGGTGGAGGTAGGAGGTAGGGAAGTAAGATGTAGGTATAGGGGATAGGGGAGGGTGTAGGAACATCTTGGGAGGGAGGGGGAGGGGCAGAGCGAGCGACATTTCTGGAGTAGGGAGTATGGGAGAAGCCTCGTCAACGTGCTTCCTGTCTGGCTTCACACAGAGACCAAGTCTGTATCTGAGAGCTGCCACCTCAGACTCAAACTTGTAGGTGGGGCAGCCTCTATAAAATACATTATGAGGGCCGCCGCAGTTGGCACATGTGCATGATTGTGCAGAGTAGTCTGATCGGTTATGACTAGGTTGGGCACGTAGGGGATATCGGGCTGTGGTACGGCAGTGTTTTTCAGGATGTCCTAAACGCCAACAGTTTTGACATAGATGGGGAGGAGGTTGATATGGTCGGACAGGGAGGGATTCTCCACCAATGTAAATTAAATTAAAGGGAAGGTCATGTCTACGGAAAGTAATTTTGGGAGTGTTGGTGGGGTTCTTAAGATGACCACTAGGAGGAATGGAGTAGCGCTGTACTCATATCACATCACCGTGAGGCAGGCGAGTAATTCTTCTCCACAATCTGACCAATCCTTGTTATAGATAGGGCAGTTTGCTGGGGAGACAGAGACAGTTCCGGTACAAGTATTGAGGGTTGGATGAGGTTCTGCAGGAAAGGGGTTGCCAGAGAGACCAGTCAGAGTTGATAATGCTATAGCTTGGGTTTCAGATGTAACTAAACAATCGGGTCGGGTAGGGAAGGGTCTTTGCCTAATCGTTTTTGAAGTCATTGTTGAAAGAGAAGAGTGTCTGAGTAAGGACTTATAGGGGCCCATCCCATTTGGCTGGACTAAATAGAGTATTTAAGATGTTTGCAGAGATGACGTGGTAGAAGGACGGGGATGTGTGGAAGAGGTAGTATTGTTGAGAGGGTTAGTATTACGGAGAGGTGGAGGATAAGGCTGTAAAGTAGTAATAAGGGAGGATGGGGTGATTGAGGAAGAAGGTTGTGAGGTTAGAGGTGATGAAGTTGAGGAAGTTGGGAGAGTAGGAGTCTCGACTTGGGAGGATAATGTACTAGTAAGCATTGAGGAGTGGGTAGCAGTTGTAGTGTTCAAAGTCGTGGTCAAAGGAGAATCTGGGGTCGGGGAACCGGGAGAGTTTGAACTGGTGGGGCTATTTGATAAAGGGGTAAGCCTCATTGCCCCTAAAAAAACGGTATAACGTCTTCATTATTGGACAAGGCAAGACTGGACTATGTTGGGGAAAGAAACAATCCACCCCTCGGGATCCCTATTGAGGGGTAAGGGCTAGACAACTAAAACAGGGGAATACCGCCCGTGCCCATGGCTCCCTCAGGCCACTCGGGACTGGCACAAAGTCATCCTTTCAGCACTGCTCTCACCCCTTAGGGAGTGGATAGTAGAAGAGGTTGGAGAAGGGACGGAAACGAAAAAGCAGGAGGGGAAATAGACCGAGCAAAATTAGTTGAGTCGAGGGCTGAGGCGGCCTAGGGTAGGGGAGAGCCCCAGCATTGGGTCCCAGTCCTCGCCTCCTTAGCCCCCCTCCCTGCCAAAAGGCAAGGGATTGGGGGACTGTTTTGAGTTTCGACCGTTACTAATGCAATATTCTTTCATCTCCTTTCACATTAAATTACTCTCCTTCCCCTTTGCATTTCCCCTCAGTTAATAGCATTGGACTTCAGGACTTGATCAGTACACAGAGTTGTTTCACTGAAATCGAGTTCTCCTGAAAATCTTTACAGTTTTCTATAGGCCTGTGTCACTGAAGCAGCACGGTCTTTTCTGCTACTTATTTTGCTTTTATTTTAATTGCATATTCATTTAGACTTTCTCTTCCTTCTTACTCTCGTAAATAATGTTATGGGTAGTGAAAACAACTGTTGAAACGGTCATTAATTTACTTAGAAATATTTCACAAGAGATATAAAACGAAAACGAAAAATAAAGAAAAATAAAAACTTTTTTGTCATATACTTTACCATTTTTAAAGTCCCTGTACTTCTTTTTTCCAAGCCATTCAACAATAAACTCTGTGTCGTTATAACCACCGTTTGCAAGCCTTTGTTACTAAGTGATATATATTTCTTAGGGTTTTATGAAAATATTATATAAATACTCATCTTCCCTGCTTCTGTTTAAGATTGCTGACAGGTTGCACCAATAATATCTCTTCAAGACTTTTATGAACATATCAAAGTAATAATAAAAAAGGGATAAACAAATGATCAGGTCTTGGCAAGACTGAACAAAAGATATGGTTAAGCCGACGACCCGAACAAAGAGAGAGCAACACATTATATAAAAAGTTTCCTTTTCCCAATAACAAAAGTGGTTCAAAATATAATGCCAAAAAAGCTGAAGTGGCAAGGATAGACAGCAGTGCAGTAACTTTGCCAAACCTTTGGGTGTTTTTTTTTATCTTATCTCCAGATTAGCAAACTCCAGACCGGACTGAAGTTATCATCATAATCATAATCCTTTCTTACCCAAAAGATTCGAAAAAAATAGCGAAGGAATTACGTAACACAGCTGTTGGATTACTTTTTTGTCGTCAGCACGCAAAGAAGTTGTTTTTTTTATTACTTTAACTTTGTTAATAGCGCTAGAAAGGTCATAAAAATATTCCTGTCATCTTGTATAACCTCCTATACAAGTCGCCAGCGAGATGCACTGATGCGCGACCCACGAGAACGCAGGATGGTGGTGGTGCTCCTCCTCCTCCTCTTCCTCCCCCTTTCTTTTTATGCTATGGCGGGTCGCGGGATCACGTGAGCAGCGTCGGGTCGATCTCGGAGTCCGTCACCGGGATGTAGGTAGCCCGCCGGAGGGACTTGTTGATCACCTCGTTCAGGGGCTCCCGAGCTCCCCCCTCCAGGTAATTTAGTATCACCTTCAAGAGAAAGGGAAAAGAAAAGAACGCTTAGGAGGAGACAATGGAAATTATCATATTCATTACACACTACACTTGACGAGTAAAAAAACAGGTATTTAAAGAGGAACTATAACAAGTGGTGAAGGAAAAAAAGGTAGAGGAGGGAGGGAGAGGGAGAGAGAGAGGGAGAGGAGAGGGAGAGGGAGAGAGGGAGAGGGAGAGGGAGAGGGAGAGGGAGAGGGAGAGGAGAGGGAGAGGGGAGAGAGGAGGAGGAGGAGGAGGAGGAGGAGGAGGAGGAGGAGGAGGAGGAGGAGGAGGAGGGAGGAGGAGAAGTAGGAGAAGGAGGAAGAGGAGGAAGAGGGAGAGGAGGAGGAGGAGGAGGAGGAAGAGGAGGAAGAGGAGGAAAAGGAGGAGAGGGAGAGGTAGAGGTAGACAAGGAGAAAGAGGAACAGGTAGACAAGGAGAAAGAGGAACAAGTAGACAAGGAGAAAGAGGAACAGGTAGACAAGGAGACAGAGGAACAGACAAGGTGAAAGAGGAACAGGTAGACAAGGAGAAAGAGGAACAGGTAGACAAGGAGAAAGAGGAACAAGTAGACAAGGAGAAAGAGGAACAAGTAGACAAGGAGAAAGAGGAACAGGTAGACAAGGAGAAAGAGGAACAGGTAGAGAGAGGAGCAGGTAGACAAGGAGAAAGATGAACAGGTAGACAAGGAGAAAGATGAACAGGTAGACAAGGAGAAAGAGGAGGAGGAGGAGAAGGAGAGGGAGAGGGAGAAGTAGACAAGGAGAAAGAGGAACAAGTAGACAAGGAGAAAGAGGAACAAGTAGACAAGGAGAAAGAGTACATGTGTGGAATTCATGTTGAACAGATTGCAACAGGAACGACGAAGGGAAGGGCAAGAAAACACACGAATATGCCGAAGGCCTTTTCACTATTGCTTCATCAATAGTGAAAGAGCAGGAGAGGGAGAGGCAGAGGTAGCAATAGTGAAAAGGCCTTCGGCATATTCGTGTGTTTTCTTGCCCTTCCCTTCGTCGTTCCTGTTGCAAGGAGAAAGAGGAACAGGTAGACAAGGAGAAAGGAGGAGGAGGAGGAGGAGGAGGAGGAGGAGGAGGAGGAGGAGGGGAGGGAGAGGTAGACAAGGGGAAAGAGGAACAAGTAGACAAGGAGAAAGAGGAACAAGTACAGGTAGATTAGGAACAGGTAGAAGGAGAAAGAGGAACAGGTAGACAAGGAGAAAGAGGAACAGGTAGACAAGGAGAAAGAGGAACAGGTAGACAAGGAGGAGGAACAGGTAGACAAGGAGAAAGAGGTTAGACAAGGAGAAAGAGGAACAGGTAGACAAGAGAAAGAGGAACAAGTAGACAAGGAGAAAGAGGAACAGTAGACAAGGAGAAAGAGGAACAGTAGACAGAGGAACAAGTAAACAGAGGAACAAGTAAACAAGGAGAAAGAGGAACAAGTAGACAAGGAGAAAGAGGAACAAGTAGACAAGGAGAAAGAGGAACAAGTAGACAAGGAGAAAGAGGAACAGGTAGACAAGGAGAAAGAGGAACAGGTAGACAAGGAGAAAGAGGAACAGGTAGACAAGGAGAAAGGAACAGGTAGACAAGGAGAAAGAGGAACAGGTAGGTAGACAAGGAGAAAGAGGAACAGGTAGACAAGGAGAAAGGAGGACAGGTAGACAAGAGAAAGAGGAACAGGTAGACAAGGAGAAAGAGGACAGGTAGACAAGGAGAAAGAGGAACAGGTAGGTAGACAAGGAGAAAGAGGAACAGGTAGACAAGGAGAAAGAGGAAACAGGTAGACACAGGTAGACAAGGAGAAAGAACAGGTAGACAAGGAGAAAGAGGGTAGACACAGGTAGACACAGTAGAGAAAGAGGAACAGGTAGACAAGGAGAAAGAGGAACAGTAGACAAGGAGAAAGAGGAACAGGTAGACAAGAGAAAGAGGAACAGGTAGACAAGGAGAAAAGAGGAACAAGTAGACAAGGAGAAAAGAGGAACAAGTAGACAAGGAGAAAGAGGAACAAGTAGGTAGACAAGGGAAAGAGGAACAGGTAGACAAGGAGAAAGAGGAACAGGTAGACAAGGAGAAAGAGGAACAGGTAGACAAGGAGAAAGAGGAACAGGTAGACAAGGAGAAAGAGGAGGACAAGGAGAAGAGGAACAAGTTAGGAGAAAGAGGAACAAGTAGACGGTAGACAAGGAGAAAGAGGAACAAGTAGTAGACAAGGAGAAAAAGGAACAAGTAGACAAGGAGAAAGAGGAACAAGTAGACAAGGAGAAAGAGGACAAGTAGACAAGGAGAAAGAGAACAAGTAGACAAGGAGAAAGAGGAACAAGTAGACAAGGAGAAAGAGGAACAAGTAGACAAGGAGAAAGAGGAACAGAACAAGAGGAACAAGGAGAAAGAGGAACAAGTAGACAAGGAGAAAGAGGAACAGGTAGACAAGGAGAAAGAGGAACAGGTAGACAAGGAGAAAAAGGAACAAGTAGACAAGGAGAAAGAGGAACAAGTAGACAAGGAGAAAGAGGAACAAGTAGACAAGGAGAAAGAGGAACAAGTAACAAGTAGAACAAGGTAGGAACAAGGAGACAAGTAGACAAGGAGAAGAGGAGGAGACACAAGAGACAAGGAGAAGAGGAACAAGTAGACAAGTAGACAAGGAGAAAGAGGAACAGTAGACAGGAGAAAGAGGAACAGGTAGACAAGGAGAAAGAGAACAAGGAGAAAGAGGAAGGTAGACAAGGAGAAAGGGAAAAGTAGACAAGGAGAAAGAGGAACAGTAGACAAGGAGAAAGAGGAAGTAGACAAGGAGAAAGGACAAGTAAGAGGAACAAGTAGACAAGGAGAAAAAGGAACAAGTAGACAAGGAGAAAGAGGAACAAGTAGACAAGGAGAAAGAGGACAAGTAGACAAGGAGAAAGAGGAACAAGTAGACAAGGAGAAAGAGGAACAAGTAGACAAGGAGAAAGAGGAACAGTAGACAAGGAGAAAGAGGAACAAGTAGACAAGGAGAAAAAGGAACAAGTAGACAAGGAGAAAAAGGAACAAGTAGACAAGGAGAAAGAGGAACAAGTAGACAAGGAGAAAGAGGAACAAGTAGACAAGGAGAAAGAGGAACAAGTAGACAAGGAGAAAGAGGAACAAGTAGACAAGGAGAAAGAGGAACAAGTAGACAAGGAGAAAGAGGAACAAGTGGAACAAGTAGACAAGGAGAAAGAGGAGCAAGTAGACAAGGAGAAAGAAGAACAAGTAGACAAGGAGAAAGAGGAACAAGTAGACAAGGAGAAAGAGGAGCAAGTAGACAAGAAGAACAAGTAGACAAGGAGAAAGAGGAACAAGTAGACAAGGAGAAAGAGGAGCAAGTAGACAAGGAGAAAGAAGAGCAAGTAGACAAGGAGAAAGAAGAACAAGTAGACAAGGAGAAAGAGGAACAGGTAGATAAGGAGAAAGAGGAACAAGTAGACGCGGAAGAAGAGAAACAAGGAGATGAGGAAGAAGAGGAAGAGGAGGTAGAGAAGATGAAAAAGAGAAAGAAGATACAAAGAAAGGAAAGATAAGACAACAAAGAAGGGTGGTAATAAAAGCGTAGAAACAAAAATGTAAACAAGATGTAACAAGACAAAAGAAGAGCAGGAACAAGAGGAACAAAAGGAAGAATAGCTGGAAAAGATGGAAAAGGATCGAAGAGAGAAAACAGGAGGCAGAGGAGCAGCAACAAGGTGTCAAAGAAAGGAAGAAACTGGAGATCAAAGAGAAAGAACAGGAGGTAGAAAGGCAAATAGAAAAGGAAGAAGTATGAGAAGAAAAGGAAGAAGTATGAGAAGAAAAAAGGAGGAGGAGAAGGTAGAGGAGGAAGTGGAGAAGGTAGAGGAGGAAGTGGAGAAGATAGAGGAGGAAGTGGAGGAGGAGGAAGAGGAAGAGGAGAAGGAGGAGGAGGAGGAGGAGGAGGAGGGAGGAGGAGGAGGAGGAGGAGGAGGAGGAGGAAAGGAGGAGGGAGGAGAGAAGGAGAAGAGAGAAGGAGAAGGAGAAGGAGAAGGAGAAGGAGAAGGAGAGAAGGAGAAGGAGAAGGAGAAGGAGAAGGAGAAGGAGAAGGAGAAGGAGAAGGAGAGAAGGAGAGGAGAAGGAGGAAGGAAGAAGGAGAGAGAAGAGAGAAGGAGAAGGAGAAGGAGAAGGAGAAGGAGAAGAGAAGGAGAAGGGAGAAGGAGAAGGAGAAGGAGAAGGAGAAGAGAAGGAGAAGGAGAAGGAGAAGGAGAAGAAGGAGAAGGAGAAGAGAAGGAAGAGAAGAGAGGAGAAGGAGAAGGAGAAGGAGAAGGAGAGGAGAGAAGGAGAAGGAGAAAGAAGGAGAAGGAGAAGAAGGAGAAGGAGAAGAAGGAGGAGAGGAGAAGAGAAGGAGAAGGAGGAGGAGGAGGAGGAGGAGAGGAGGAGGAGGAGGAGAGGAGGAGGAGGAGGGAGGAGGAGGAGGAGGAGGAGGAGGAGGAGGAGGAGAGGAGGGAGGGAGGAGGAGGAGGAGGAGGAGAGGAGGAGGAGGAGGAGGAGGAGGAGGAGGAAAGAGAAAAAGGACAAGATCAAAGGCTTACCTGCTGTCCCTGGTCCCCTTCCTTCAGCAACAGTATTGCTACGAGCGCCATTTCTGCAGACGACCGCACCACCTGGTTCTTCTCCTTGGTGCCATTCACCAGCATGGGCACCAGAGGTTTAGCAACTTCGCGTGGAATCTGCATGCCCTTTTCTGCAGACAGATTCTCCGCTGTATACTGGCAGGCTCGGCACATTCCCTGTTTCACCTCATTACTGTTGTGGTTGATGAGCTAAAAAGATAATGTAAACATCAGTCTCCCTGAAGTCTAAATATAAACACTTGAAAGGAGATGTAAACAATCATAATTTTTCTCTTTACATCATGATGGATATAAGTAATTCAGCTGTAATTTACCTTAGCAAACGGCTGAAGAAGTTGTGCGGGTACAGTAGCACCTTTCTTCAGCTGGTGTGCCAGGAAGAAGGCAATACCTGCCATTGCATTCTCCACTAAAGAAGAACGATCTGATGACATATATGAAATAAGCGCTGCAATTATTTGGTCAGCGGAATTAATCTCCAGTAATTTACCCGGAGCTGACTTCAAGGCAGAGAACAGAGCTGCTGATCTTCCATGTCTGACTGTCCAGTCAGCATTTACATTATCATCTGAAAAGATGGGTGAAAAATAAATTTCCTTATATAAAGGCCTTATTGACAGTTGGCAATACTAATCACTAATACCTACAACTATAATGCTTCTATAATCAGCATCATGGAAGTTTAAATCCACTTTTTCAATTAAAATCTCCAAAACAAAAGGACTTCGGCCATAACTTCAAAGCCAGCTACAAACCTAACACATATTGGGTGAGAGCTGAGCGCAGATCATCTGGAGGGAGCCAGGGCAGAAGGACACCTATGGCACCAGCAGCACAGAGGCGTGTGGAGTCATTGTCATGAGAGAGCAGACCTCCCAAGGTTGACAATATGCCTTTGCGGACATTCTCACTCATCTTGTCTCCTGCCGGCTGTATGACACACCTCAGTGCTTGAATCATCGTATCTCTGAAAAGTTGGACGGCAACATGAACCTCAAGGTCATCCTGTAAGGCCACTGAAAATGACCAAAGGAAAAATGCACAGTACAAAATATGGAAGAATATCACTTTCAATCATACACAGCTCCCCAATACTACCTAATAGCAGAGTCATCTGATGTTTTGACAGCATTGTGCAATTCAGTGAAGAGTGGATCTGGTTTAGTATGGATTGTAATGAGATGGGAGAGAGCTGCACCAGCACGAAGCCTCACACCACGGTGGGGGTCATGCACTGCCTTGACAAAGGTAGTCTGCAGTTGCGGCAGGAATGGCTTCAGCATTACTCCAGTCTGTGGAAAGTTTAAACAAATTTTAAGACCTTGTAGTACCATCCTATGAAAGATGATCCATTCTCAAAATTTTAAATTTTTTCAACAATAAAGAAAGTTTTCTTAATGCTCACCTTAGCCAGCAACAGTGCTAGCGTGTCTAACACTGCCACTTTGACATTCCATGCAAAACGATCTCCAAGAATACGAATAAGAGGACCAGTAACATGAACTACTGAAGGCTTGAGAGCATCTGAGCTTGTCAACCGGATCACCTCAGTAAGACCATTAGAGGCAGCTTCCTTGAGTTCTGGTTCACCATTAAGCACAGCCTCTCGGAAGATGGGTAAGATTGGCTGAATGCCTGCGGGTCAAAATTTAGAAAAATAAAAGAAACAGAGTAATCAAAAGCAAACCTAATCTAGAAAAAAACTATAGAAGTAATAAGAAGATATTAATACCATAAAACCTAAATCAGAATCTGACTTACCTTTGGGTAAACAGAAACCAGGCATAAGTTGTCCTTCTTTGAGATCTGAGGCTGCAAACTTGACAGCTTGTCGGACATCTGGTACTAAAGATTTCTGGTCAGCTGCATCCAAGCTCTGATAAGAAAAAATAACTCAAACCACAAATATAAATGCTCCTGCCATATATCCATATACATAATTTCATCCAGTAAGCAGCTTTAATATTTTTGTACAAAGTAAATTACCTTGGTCACAGCACTTAGAGCCAGCCAAGCAGTCTTAATGATTTCATCATCTGTGTGGGTGAAGAGGTGAATCAAGCCACGCAACAGTTGCGGTACATAGTCACTGTAGTCAGCCCTTGTGTTCGAGCAGAATGCAAGCAACAGAGCTACAGAGGCACGTGACATTCCGGTGTTGTTTCCCCTGCAAAGGACAAGGTTTAAAATTATTTACGGAGAAAGATTTCTTATAACAGCCAAAATGAAAAGAAACTTAAAAAAAGAAAAAAAATTAAGGATACCTTCTGCAAAATTGTACCACCATGCAACTTACTTGGAGTGCTGCAACAGCTCATCAACAATAGTAGTAACTCCAGCATCATCCACAACAGCAAGAACTACACCCTGGCAATGACTCAAGGCCTCATCATATTCAGGAGTTCCTGCAGCCTCGCTAAGAGCTCCAAGGAGGGCTATCAGGATTTTGCTTAGGTGGCGCGTAAGGGAATCTCCAGCAACAGAGGCCAGGATGCACAGTGCTTGGGTGTTGACCGGTGGTGTAGTTAACTGTAAGATACAGACATGAATTTGGATAAGACAAAGCCTGCAACAAATTTCAGTATCTAAATACACAATAACAAATTTGCCCCCCCCACATAAGTTTTTTTTTTTTTTTTTTTTCCCAAAAAAATCAGGCCAGGTCATTCTACATGGTGGGAAATAAAGTGTATAATATTAATTTACTGATAAAAAAGGACCACATATGAGTAGGATACCTGAGGAACAAGATATGGCAACACAACCCTACTCTTGATAGCCATAACTTGCTTCAAGCCATCAAGAGCATATTCCTTTGTCTCATCCTCGTTCTCTAGTTGTGCAAGAAGATGTGGCAAGATATCATCCAAAGCTCTGAATCCTACAGTGCTATGTAAGGAGTCAAAGGTCTGGGCAGCAGCCTGACGCACTGATGACAGAGGATCACACAGAGCTCGTCTATAAGAAAGTAGGTATATTAATGTGCATTCAATAAACACCATCCCAAGGCAATCCATTGTCATTTTCAGCAAGTAGCTCATTAAAAGATCTAAACAGTAACTTTCAATAATATGTACACAAAGTTTCATCTGTGTGTGCGTGTTCGTGTGCGCGCGTGTGTGCGTGTGCGTGTGCGTGTGTGTGTGTGTGTGTGTGAGTGCGTGTGTGTGTGTGAGTGCGTGCGTGTGTGTGTGTGTGTGTGTGTGTGTGTGTGTGTGTGTGTGTGTGTGTGTGTGTGTGTGTGTGTGTGTGTGTGTGTGTGTGTGTGTGTGTCTCTAATCTAACATCTAATGTACCAATCTAACTATAATAATAATAATGTAATAATCAATCTAATCTAACATCTAATGTACCAATGAATCATCATTATACCATACCTTACAGTTGGCACCAGATTGTCAGCAAAGCACAGAACCATATCCTTACTAGTGGATGCCATAATCTCAGAGAGACCAATACAAACACCTTGTCTATGGTCAGCCTCAGGAGACCCCAACCCAGCTTCCAATATGGGAATGATTTCTGGCAAAACACGCTCACCAAGTTTGCGTACAAGATCTCCGAGCGTACGTGCTGCCACCTTGATGGGGGAAGCAAAGAACACATTACTATATCTATAATGAACACAAATATAACATTATACTGTTCATCCATGTGAAAAAAATTAGGTACAAATAGGGAGAAAACAAAATTAAACAAAGCTAAACTATAAAAGATAAAAAGAATTACAGACATGAAAAATAATTAATGCCCTCACCTGTCTCTTATCACAGCTTGTAGAAGCGAGGTGACCAAGGAGGAGCGAGAAGAGAGTGGGAAGAATTTCTCGCAAGGTCTTGGGGGTGTTGGTGACCACAACCTTCCAGACGTGAAGTGCAGCTTGCCTTACCAACACGGCAACATCCGATCTACCCATGTAGAGCCCAGCCAGTACCCTGTTGCGCCTCTCTGGACCCAAGATGTCAATAATAGCCTGCAAATATAAATTTTGTTAGTATCATATTTGCATTCCTACTTATAATACGTATCAGAAACCAATCCTGTCAAATACTGTCAAATTTAAATTTGCATAGCAACCAAAAACGGCAGAAGTTATCAATACATACCCTCTGAGAGTGTTCTGTACCGAAGTTGTCATCTTCATTGACAGTGTCTGTTGTCATCTTACCAGACACACCTGATACCTTGAACAGCAGGTCTCCCAACAGCTGTACAGAACTGTATAGAGATTTCAAGATAACATCATAAGACTGGACTCCCTCAATCAGAGGAAATTTAAATGAAAAATAAGAAATGGATAACTAATTCCTCTAAGTTACATAAAACTGAACTAATTATCCATTAGAATAATTTCTAGTTATATCATAAAACATTTCACTTATCCGATACCATAACACAAAATCTAAATCCAATAAACAATATCTGAAATCAGATCCAATTATATGGCAAAATTGTAGAAATATGGACAAACTGAAAGACTGACATCATATTTTCTCATCACAATCCAAAAAGTCTGAACTAACCTGTATCGAATACGCCAGTTGTCATGAAACAGGCCAGCCTCAAGTTCGGGCAGCAGCAACGTGATGGCTGATTCAGCATATGTGTTGACAATCCTCTGACCAGCTTTGAGGGCAGTTTCACGAACAAATTCATTCTCATCGGCAAGGGCCTAAGAAAAAGAAAGATGTGAAATAAAAAAATTAAGTACTTGCACATTTTAACATGGTCTAACCAACCTAAAAAAGGTACATAAAAAATTCTGACTAAAATATCTAATAGTTCTTGCCCTAAGAATACAAAGGACAATGATGATAGTAACTATACTTACACATTTCCATGGTAATAAAATGAATTCTACTGTAAAGCTACTTCACAATTCTTTATCCTCAAAATAGTTAGGATCACAATACAAGGACACAATTCTCCAATCAGCTCTCACCTTCAGAATAGGTGGGATGATCTGGCCAATGTACGGGGTGAACTCATCCTGGAACACCGTTGGGAGGAAAATGAACATCATTATGTAGCCGTCCTTCACATGCGGGGCGATGTCAGAACGCTCAGCTGTGGCAATGATGTCAGGCATCAGGCGGTGCAGCTTTTCTGGACCTAGGCCACCCACAACCTGAAAATCACAAGCAATTGTTTAACCTGCCTTTAGGGAATGTTGCTCCTGATATCTAAACTGTTTGAACATCAAGATTTCTGTATCATAAGTACATGAAATAAACATATAGCAAATTGGCTATTGGTTCATTATTATTACAAGAACATTGGCTTGTATTGGTTATCATTGATAGAGCTGAACATATGAAGAGCAAGGTAATAACCACACAATTAGTGATAATCCTTCAAGATCAGAAATCAGCATAAAAATTTTCAAAATGGTTTTCAGGCATTTTAACTTCACACTATTAAACTGCATAATGACAAGCACTCCATCAGCAAATGTATAACAAACAAACCATCCTGACCATCTCATTCCTGTGACCATCAGCAATGTCTGTAATGCCAACAATATTCTGTAGAAATCTTAATAAGAAACTCCTTACCTCTGCCAGACCCTGAGCTGCTCCCGAACGATCAACACTCGAAGACTCTGAGGTCAGTGTCTGCATCAGCCAGGGCAGGAGGTCATCAAAGCTGGACTCTCCCATGCCCTTTACCATGGCTCCCAGCGCACGCGATGAAACAGCACGCACCTAGGTTAGAATGGGGTAAAGTACATTTTTTTGTGAATCCTATAGGTAAAAGATATATTCTAGGTTTTGCTATGATATAAAAATGTTTCTATTCTAGCCTTTTTTTCTTTTAATCAATCAATCTAATTTCAATATCAGCACAACAAAATGCCCTTTTAATACCTAAAGCATCAAATAAAGAGGTAATACACATGAAATAGAAGCCATCTAAAAACAAACATCCACACAAATAATCCCAACATAGAAAAATACAAAAATACACGGTCAATCCTTCACACCTTGGGCACAGGATCCAACAAGGAAGCCTTCAAGCCTGGGATGATGGCTGGGAGGTAAGGCTGGAGGTCCTTCTGGTCTGTCAGCGAGTACATATTGCCAATGATCTGCGCCGCCATTTTTCGGACCTATGGATGGGGAACAAAATAAACAAAGATGATTAAATATTTCATTATTGACCTGAGCCTTGAGCATAACAGAATATGTTAATAGACACTCTTAGGATCATGCATGAGCTTATGAGAAAAAGGAGAACTAGGGTAATAGGGAACAAAAGGAACTGGGAAAGTAGTAAGAAAATTCAATGAAAAAATAGTGGGAAATAAAGGAAAAGAAAGGTTTAACCTCAAAGTTTAATCATAAGATTATTGCTGCTACTAGAGGAGATAAACAATCTCCATCTGATAAGCTGATAGTGCGGGAACAGCCAGCTATGGTGCCAAACGTCGTTAGGTCCACAATTTGCCATGACAAGAATGGCTGCCAAATGTGCTAGCTCCGTTCATTAACTCAAAGACAATTCGAAGCTGGCCAGAGCCATCACAAATTATAACCCTTCAAACTGTGACTGTGTTTCACCAATGAATAAGTAAATGAACAATAATGCCTCACCTCAGTTGACCTATCTTGGAATGCTCTCTGGACTACAGGCATGATGAGAGCCAACGATGGGGCATCAATGAAATGGACAAATTTCGTCTCGAGCAATGTCTGTAGGCAAGTTGATGTGTTCCTGCTGGGGTCTTGCAGAGCATCAAGTAATACTGGTACAATAGCTGCAATGAAAAATCAGAAGGTATGAATATAAAAAATAACAAAAATATAATTTTTCATAAAAATTTTCATAACAAAAATAAAAATAAATACAAAAAATAAAGCATTACAAGCATTCAAAGTATAAAAATAAAATTATATTTTTTATGGTGTATGTATTTCATGTAAGAGGACATTTGTATGGTGTATAAAGTCTGGATTTTATTGCAAGAGGTACATGTGGTGTGGATACATGGCAAGTATGTTGTAGTGTGGTTGTATGATAGATATGTTGTGGTGTGGCTGTATGATGGGTATGTTGCAGTGTGGTTGTATGGCAGATATGATTTGGTGCAGTTGTATGGCTGTGCTGTTGTGTTGTGTTGTGTTGTGTTGTGTTGTGTTGTGTTGTT